GCAAAGCTAGCACGGGTGCCACTGCTGGTGACACTCCCACGTCCTCTCCCCTTGTGCCCGACCAGAGACTCCACTGTCCTGCTGCAGCATGGTGCTCTGGGAAAGCACTGAGCTCTCCCCCAGCTCCTCTTGCCCAGGGAAGCTGCCCCATCCCTGGAAGTGTCCAAGGCCAGGTTGGATGGAGCTCTGAGCAACTCAGTCTAGTGGAAGGTGTCCCTGCCCATGGAAGGAGAGTGCAACTAGAAGATCTTTAAGATCTCTTCCAACTCAAACCATTCCACGATTCTGTGATGATTCTGTGATTCCTCTCCATGCCTCTGATCAAGTCCCTCCAACACTCATCCCTCGTTAAGGGTATGTCCCGGGGATCCTCACAGGAGAGGGACACAGGGCAAGGGGAGCTGGGGGTTGCAGAGCCCCTGTGATGCAAACACAGCTCTTCCCTCACAAAATTGCACAAATATTCCCTTGCAGGAATGTGGGTGGTCAAAGCCTGCCATACAACAGGGAGGAAGAGAAGTCAGACGAACTGCTAGAAAAAACACTAAGTATCTTCAAAAAATATTTTCCCAATCCACACGCCAAACCCTAAGTCTCAACAAGCTCCATTCTTGCACGCACAAAGATCAGGATCTGCAAATAAAAAACTGTTTCTGCAAGACAAACCCCAAAACCTCAAATTTGCTTAAGAAACAAAATCAAAGTGTTTTATTTCCCTATGCAGCAGCAGCCCTGGAGGCACTGGCTAAGGGCAGGGCAGCAAGGACGGAGCTGCCACTGCTCACCCTGCAGGCAAGGACGGGAGAGGGGACACTGCTGTACCTCCCCATCTTCCTCAGCTCCTCTGCTCCTTTTTGTCTTTTTTCCTGCAGACCTGAGCATGGACCAGCCCCAGGATCTCCAGCAGTGCCCAGCCACGCTCAGCACAACAGACGCCATAAAGGCAAGCATTTGGCATCTCCACAAAGCCAGAAACTTCGGGAAACACCAGCACCCACTTCAGCAACGTGTGAGTTTGTGGCCTCCCACTCCCAGCCCCAGAGAGGACAGGCAGTGACCTCCCCCAAGCCCTGGCACGGGAGAAGCCCTTGTGAAACCACCAAAGGAAGAAACGGAACCGGGTCCTTCCGAGCCTGCGCCACTGCTGCCTTGTCAGCCAAACCACGCTGCACGGCACATCCGAGCGCCTTCCTGTCTGCCCAGCCCAGCGGGGAGCCCTGCTCCTCCTCTGCTGCCACTTGCATCTGCAAACACTGGGCCACCAAGGCCTGTGCCCTGAGTGCCACCCGGCCACGCTGGCCCGCAGCCAGCTGTGAGCACAGCTGCTCGGGGGTGGGGGATGGCTGCTTTCCACCCTCACACCACGGGATCCCTCCCAGCACTGAGCAGCAACAGGAGTGCTGGAAAAGCTTCCCCAGCACAGCAGCTCCGTGGCCATTCCTCCGTGGAGAAGCACCTGGGTGCTTCAGCCCCTTCAGATCCCCCAGCCTCAGTCTGGGGTCACTGCCTGGGAATGCACAGTGAGAAGCAGCCGCTTGCTTCACTTCCGAGTGCTGCGTGTTGAGCAACCCCCGCTGCTGCTCTTGTTTGCTGTCCTGGGAGGGGACAAGGGGCTCTTGCAGCAGGGCCAGCCCTGGCCACCCTCCTGCCTGCACCCACACCGTGAGGCAGCACGGACTGGGGATGAAAAGGACAAAAAAAAAGCATCGTTCACCTTGAAATCTTTGAAATAATTCCTGCAGGAATTCTGGAGGCAGACAGGGCACTAAAGGATTGGAAAACAGAGTGAACCAAAGCAGGCAGCCGACACCAGGGCAAGCTTCTCCCAGGTTCTGTGTGCCCATTGCCTGTGGAATCTGGAGGGAAACGGCTGAGGCATGAGGCTGAGGTTCCTCAAGGCATCACAAATTCATCACAAGGCGCATCTGCACGGTGCCAAATAAAACCACCTGCTGGGGGTTTGTTTTCTCTCTCCAAAAATCTTCTTGACAGTCCCCGCGTTTCAACAGCGCTCCTGCCATCCCACACATCCCTGAAGGCTCAGCGTACTCGTAATGCAAACTGCCTTTGGAAAAATCTCCTTAAATTAGCAACAGAAATTATTAATACAGTTTGTAAAACCTACAGGCAGAGGATGGCGGTGGCACGAGCCTGCCCATGCTGGTGTGCCCACCAGTGTCCTGCAGAGATCCCAGGCCCCAGCCTGCCACATCCCCCCACAGTGAAGCCCCCCAATTCCAGCTGCTGTGGGTGATGCTGGGGAGGACCCGCACAGTGCCCAGTTCCCCTAAATTCTGGGCTGACTCCGCACAGACCTTGGGCTCCCTTGGGCTCTGCAGCACAGCTGCTCCTGTGCTGCCACATGCAGCAGCCTCGGGGCACGGACGCCAAACCCCGCTCGCAGCTCGCAGGCGCCCGCCTTGGCACTTGACAGCTCCCCACGAGCACCCCGCAGCATTCCCACAAAACACACGGCAAATCTGGAAACCTGTTAGCACCAACCACTCGGATCTCCCCACTCACCACTGCTCGGTGCCCGAGCAGGAGGGAGCAGCACGGCTGTGCTGAGGGGGGGGGACTCGCCTCCCCAAACCGGGTCCAAGCAGCTGGCAGGGCCTGGCAGAGGGAGGCGTTTGAAGAGGTTTCAAGCTGTGAGATGATTTTTGGACAGAGCCCGAGCGTACAAACAAACACAGCGAGGGACAGAGCAAAGGCCTCTGTGATGCAAGCCATCCCCTGCCTGCAGGAAGGCTAGCTCAGCTCATGCTGCTGGTCCCAGTGCCAGCAACTCCAGCCACGAGTCCCAAGAAACCCGAGCTGGACAAAGCGTGGATGTCACATCCCTGCCATGCAGGGCACAGCTGAGTAACAGATGGGCACTGCCAGGAGAGTGCCAGTGCTTTGGGTGGGCTGCAAAGTGCCAGTGCAGCTGCTCAAGAGCCTGTCTGCACCTCCTGCCAAGGGACTACATCCCACAGCCACCCCGACCTCAGTGCTGCCAACACCCCTTGAGCCTCAGCAGAGGCTGATGCTGCCCGGGACCTGCAGGCACAGCCTCTCACTGGGCACCCACCGGCCAAGGCCACCATGTTCACCCTAGTATAGGAGGGCAGTCCCAACCCTGGCTGAGCTCTGGACACTTGGACAGATGGACAGTCCCAGCCCATGGGTGCCCTCTGTGTATGGCAGTGCTCAGATTATGGCGGCATAGCTTGGTGCTGGGCTGCTAGAGGGGTGCCATGGGAGGGGGAAGAGGGGACCATGTGCCAAAAAGCAGGATGAGAGGACAAAGGTACAAGGAGGGCCCTGTGCTGAGCACCTTTTCCCACCTGCCGTACATCCTGCACTGTGTTCTGTGCATTGAGCACACTGTGGCCACCTCAGCACACCCTGCACTGCACTGAGTATCCTGCACCATTCGTGAACCCAGCACTGAGCATCCTGCACCCAGCACCAGAGGAGAACCCAGCACTGAGTACCACTCTCTGAACCCAGCATAGAGCATCCTGCTCAGTGCTGCACCGTGCTTCCTGTACTGGGCACCCAGCACTACTCTGAGCACTCTGCACCCAACACCCGGCACCGACAACCGCTCTGTGTCCCCGATACCGAACACCCAGCACTGCTGTGTGTCCCCGGTACCGCACACCCTGCACCGCTCCGATCACGCATCACTGCCCGGTGTCCCTAACACCGCGCAGCCCCCGCACTGCGCACCGAGCATCCCCCGCCGCTCCGCGCCCCGTTCGCTTCGCCCGCGCCACCCACCGAGCCCGGAGCCGGTACCAGGCAGCGCCCGCCGGTACCAGGCACCGCCCGCCGCGCAGCCCGCCCGCTGTCACCTGCCAGCCGGCGCGGCTGCGGGGGGGACAAACGGCAGGGACACACGCGGTACCGGGGCCGGGCCGGGCCGGGGCGCTTCCCCCGCTCCCCCCGGTGCCCCCCGCACTCACCGGGGCCGCCGCCGGCCCGGAGCGGCGCGAGACGCGGCGACGTCACGCGCACGCGGGGCCGGGATCCCCGCCCGCCGCTCCGCGCGTGCGCCGCGCGCGCCGGGCACCGGGCGGCACCGGGGGACCGAACCCGAGCCCGTCCCCCATCCCGTGTCCGTGTCCGTGTCCGTGTCCGTGTCCGTGTCCGTGTCCGTGTCCGTGTCCGTGTCCGTGTCCGTGTCCGTGTCCCTGCCCGAGCCCTGCCGGTTCTGTTGCTCGTGCCGGTACCAGCCCTCCCCGTGAGTTACCGGGAGCTCTCCGCACCGCTCTGCCCGCGGCCTCATCGTTATCCCTGGTCCCCTCCCCGGTCCCCGGTGCTGCCAGTGTGCAGCGCCCGGCAGCGCTGCCGTCACTGCTATCGCTGTAATTAATCACCGCCGTCTCTAATTAGCGGCGTGGGAGCGCAGGGTAATGCCAGCCGAGGTGCCCCACCGGGAGGCAACGGGATGGCAAAGAAGTGTCCGGTGGGGAGGGACAACATCCGAGGGGAAAAAAAAAACTCCTTGAAAGTGAATTGGTCTTTGATTGACTCCAATTTCGGCTGTTAATGAGTGTCCCGGTGGATCCCACCGGCAGGGACACCTCGCAGCCCCCCGATCCCGCAGGCGTGGAGCCCGCCCTCGTTCCGTGGCTACCGGGGCACCCTGAGCCCCACAACTGAGAGGGTCCCCACGGGGGCTGCAGGGCCTCTGCCACCCCCTTCTCCCACCCTGTGTCCCAGCCCCAGCACGGAGATCCTCCTGCATGAGACCAATTCCCTGGGAAAACCCGCCTCCACCGTGTCCCACCCTGCTCCAGCGCAAGGCTGGCACATCCCGGCCGAGCAGAGCCGCGTTCATGCACCACCGACCCCCGAGCAGTTCTAATCTTCTGGTTTTTTTTTAATTTGCCTCACAAGGTAGAGTACATCCAGGGAATGTGCAATGTACAAGGAAAGTGCTGGGCAGGCGAGCGCGAGGGGAGGCGGGGGTGCCCCACGGGGCCCGGGACTCGTAGCTGCTAGCAGGCGGCACGCTCAGTCGGAGGGCGCGTCGGGGGTGACAAAGGTGCCCTTCTGGTCCCACTGCATGTCCCGGATGCGGCGGATGGACTGGATCTGGGGCTGGAAGGCAGACCACTCATTCCAGTGTCGGAAGTCTCCGGTCTCAAAGAGGTACTGGTAGCCTCTGTAGCCAGGGTACTGGTACCCGACCCAACTGCGGGAAAAGCAAACGCAGGGCACCTGAGTGCGGTCGGCCACTCCAGGCAGCAGCCACATGGCCAGCGTGAGCTCGGGGGGCTGGCAGGGCCTCCCTGAGCTGGGCATCAACCTCAGGGGGATGGGCCACACCACCCAAAACAGCCATGCCACCCAAAACAGCCATACTACCCAAAACAGCCACCCTACCCAAAACAGCCATGCCACCAAAACAGCCATACTACCCAAAACAGCCACCCTACCCAAAACAGCCATGCCACCAAAACAGCCATGCAGCGCTTTCTGGCTGCCTGAGAGCCCAAGGCAGTCGCCACTGCAGCCCAGCTTACGTTCCACTGGGCACCTGCACGCTGCCCACGCGGTCACAGAAGCCATAAGCCCAGAGGCTGGGCACGTCGTCCTCCTGGATTTCCATCTTGTTGCCCTTGAAGTCAGCAGACTCGTAGAGGGAGATTTTGTGGTCTTCAGCCTCCTGGGGAAGACAGAGGGAGGGCGCTGGGCAGTCTGGCTGAAGCCCTGGAGCTTTGCTGCAGTGAGGCATCGAGCAGCACAGCCCAGCCCTGGGCAGACCCCACCGGGGCTCTCTGCTCCCCAGCACTCACCATTTTGATGGGACGCATGGACATGAAGCAGTCGCTCCGGTAGCTGCTGGACCAGGTGTCCCAGCGAGGGTACTCGCCCTTCTCCAGGATGAACATCTCCCCACGCATGTTGGCCTGCTCATAGGCCACCCAGCTGGGGAGAGAGGTGGGCAAAGAGTGGGTCAGGTTCCACCCAGCAGTTCCCCTCCTGCTCAGCCAGCTTGCAGGACAGTGAAGGGGTCTCCAAAAAGGCTGTGGCCCCACCACCCTGCTTCTACCTTTCTCCTAGCCCAGCTCTGTGGCCTGTGCAGAGCCAGCGCTGATCCATGGGCTCTGGGCTGGAAGCTCGCTGGTGTGTGAGTATCCAAACCTACAGCAGGCACCAGCACTCACAGAGCTCCTCTTCCTCAGCTGGGGAGCAGCAGGACCCCTGCACAGCTGGTGACCTCACAGAGTCAGCTCAGGACTCTGTTGTCCCTCCTGCCTGAGCTGTGTAATCCTGGCACGCCTCACTGCTCCAGCGCCAGCCAGCGCTGGCACTCGTCCCACTGCCGAGCGTGGGGCTCACTCAGCTGCAATGTCACCTCTTTAGCAGAGCCATGAGTTGCTGCAGTGCTGGGAATGTCATGGGTGTGGGGCCTCAGAAGCCCCCAGCACCACCACAGTCCTGCATTTGCTGCTTCCCCTTTCCCTGCAAAACAGATCTTCCTGCATAAGCCAGCAGGGGTTTTCCTGCTGGCAGATGTGTTCAGGTACCCCAGGCTGCACAGCCTCAAGCTGACTGCTAAAGCTCAGCTTGGTTGTTTTGCTTTCATCTTTCCCTAAGCACATTTTTGGGTGCACAGTCCCAGTGATTCTCAAGAAGTTTCTAAGGACTCCAATGACACCCAGGTTCTCTGTTCTCCCAGTTTTACCCTCTCTGTGCCTAGTGCAGCTTCCCAGGTATCGTATCTGAGCTCCTTCTAGGCTGCTTCATCCCCCATCTGTTTCAAGAGGAGCTGGATATTCTGGGTTCCTAATAAAAAAGTCATCAGTGCTGCATGGTGTCGTTCCAGGTCACCCTCCCGGTCCCTTGGGGATGCAGTCAGGACCAGCCATGTCCTGTGCATCCTCCCCACAGTGCTACCAGCCCTCCTCATTCCTAGGCACGCTGTTTCCAGCCGGGCACAGCGTGGTGGGATGCTCTTTCAACATGGAGATCATCCGTCTGCTCAGTTATCTGCTTTGGGGATCATTTTTGTCCCTGCCTGTGTCAACTGTTCCCACGGCTTTGAGACCTGCCCAGCCCCCTTGTTGCTGCTCAGCTGCCTGGGTGCAGGCATGTGCTTGTCCCTGCCTGTCCCTGCCTGCTCCAGCCTGGTCCAAGGTTCCCACCTCATTTCACCTTGACCTCTCTAAAATCTGCAGGTCCCTTGTATTCCATGGACAGCTCCAGGTGACTGAAATGATGGACATGTTTCCTCAGCCCTTGGCTTTGCCTCTGGTGCCCTTTGCTTTGCTCGTGGATCCCTGGCATCCTTCCCACCCATCCTGGCCCTCCTGTCCTCCTCCAAGGAGATCCGGGATGCCCACTCTGCTCCTGTGCTGGCCCTGCTGCGCTCTGCCCAGGCAACACGGAAATGCTCCTGCACGTCACATTGTGCCCAGGGTTCCCCCAGGGCCGTGTCCCCACCCACCAGGAACATCCCCAGGGACACGGTCCCCTCCGTGGCTGGGGTCACTTACGGTCCAGAGGTGACAATGACACTGCGCACCCGGTCGAAGCCACGGTCAGCCAGGTTCAGGCACTCGGCAGTGAACTCCATCTGCCTGCCCTGGAAGTTCTCCTGGTCGAAGACAACGATCTGGGTGTGCAAGGAAAGGATTGGATGAGGACAGGCATGCTCAGGGAGAGCAGGCTGCTGCTGTGTGACCCCACTGCTCCACATTGTCCCCCTCGGCTCTCCAAGCCTTCCTGTAGCTTCTTGGGTCTGGTGCCCGCCCATGCTGAGCTGGGCTCTGTGCATGGGCATCCTGAGCACAGGAAGGTTCTCCCCAACAGCTGTTCCTGCTCCAAAATGGCCTCACCATGTCCCTGATTTTGCTGCTTCCAGTGCCCACGCTGGTGAGAAGGAGCGGCTTCTCCAGGTGCTCTGTCTGCACTGTGGCATTCTCAACCTGGCTTGGTGTCACCAGAGCCCCCACATCACTCGCCCCCCGTGCCAGCCCTGCTGCAGTGCCTCGGTGGCACATTGACCTGGCATCACTGTGGCAATTCAGTGCTGGCCCTGTTGCCTCTAGTGTCCCCTCCACCTCCCCACAGGACCCCTGCATGCAGGGGGTGACCAGAGGGAGCAGGTGACAGCAGCCAGCCCTGACACCACAACCCAGGGGAGAGCCCTTCCAAAGCCTGTGATCCCCAACAAGCTGTCCTGGCCAAGAGACCTTCAGCTGTTCCTCCTGCAGCAGCTGCCCAAATCCTTTTCCTGCTGTCAGAGGGACAGAGCAGGGATGGCATCACCCACACTTCCACTCTCCTTCCCCCTGGAACGATCTCCTGCCCAGAGCGTGTCCCTGCGCGTGGGGAGCACAGGGCTTACCCTGAAGGCTTCTGGGGAGGGCTCCTCGCCCTTGCTGTTTGCGACAGGAGCAGGGTCAAGGGATGGAGTTGGCGCAGGAGCCGCCTTCTCCTTCTCATCCGCAGCCTGGCTGGGAGCAGCGGGTTTTGTGGTCTCAGACATCGCGGTGTTGGGCTCAAGTCTGTGACAGGGCACCAGCAGCAGGTTAGAGCGAGGCATGGATGTGGGCACCCACAACCCACCCCAGGAATGGTGACATCTGGATGGGGACTCTTTATGGGGTGGGTGGGCAGGGCCAGGAGAGGAGCTGCTGGGAGGTTCTCCAGCAGGCACAGGCAGGGGTTCTGCCTTCACCAGGGGGATCACAGGAGGTCCTGGAGCATGGTCCCAGCACTGTCGAGGTGCCCAGGGATAGGGCCTGATGCTGTGCCAGGGGTGCACCTGGGAGCCCGGGGGGAACCGGGCCAGCCTGTGAGGGGTGGGAAGGGGACAGCCCTGGTCTGCTGAGGCCCTGCAGCTGGCACCCTGCTGTGACCCCGCAGGTGAGTGTCACCAGCAGCTCCCCGAGGAGTGGAGGGTGGTGGGATGCTGAGCACAGAGGTGCTCCCAGACGTGACCACCACAGCGGTGGCCACGGCTTAGACCCTGAGTTTCCCTCTCCCCACCTCGGGTCCGGCTGCAGCCCGGTGCCCGGGGACTTTGTCCTCTTACCTGGGCAGCTGCTGCTTCTTGTTGGAGTGAGCGGGCTTGTGTTTCGGGGCGCCGCGAGGCCCCCACTTTATAGCCTGGCAAGGGCAGACCCCCGGGCGGGCGCACAAAGGAACTGCCAGCTCATCAGTGTCTGCGCGGCCGCCCAGTCATCACATCCTGCAAAGCGCTGGGCGAGCTGGAAGCCTCTCCCCGGCCCCGTGCCCAGCCGCTGAACCCAGCACTTTCCTTTGTGCCCCCGGCACAACAGAAGACCTGACCGTGCCACTTTGCAGCGCGCCCGGCACCCGCTGCCCCTCGTGCGGCCGCCCCGGCAGGGCATATATAGCCCTGGCACGGCCCGGCCGGCGCCGGCATCGGCACAGGAACACCTCCCCTGCCCAGAGTCCCGGCCCCGGGCCCGCGGTGACACCCCGCTCCCGTGCCGCTGCCACCACGGCAGCCCCGCCGTGCCCGGTCTGCAGCCGCGCCGGGCCCGTTTGTCCCCTCCAAACACTGAACCTCTCGCTTTGAGCATCACTCCACGCCCGCAAGCGCCGGCAGCGCTGCCCTGGAGATGCCAGAAAGCGAGACCTGAGTGTTCTGAAATGCTGCAGGAGTTAGGTTTTTCCAGAACGATGTGTAATCGAAGCTGACACTTTCTCAACCACCCGAGTGCCTGAAAATAGTTTGTTCTCCCTTGGGAACATCCCTGCTCACTGGCAGGGCTCTTCTTTGCTTTTTAGCCCATTTTCCCCGTGCTGCAGTCACCCTGGTTCTGCCACCACCACACTCATGGTTTTGGATCATTAGCTCTGTGACTGGCACAGGAGGGTCGTGGGGTGGCTGGTTGGGGATGCACTGTCACCAGTTCCTTCAGCAGCTCAGCCTCTGGTGCCACATCCCTCCCACCCCATGGCACCTCGGGGGAACTTTCTCCTGAGTCCCTCTGAGCCTCTGATCAGCTCTTCTGCACCTCCACATCCCTGTCCAACACCCCCAGCTTCCCGTAGCATCCAGCACCAGCGGTGCCTCACCCGAGGGTGTGCGGGCAGAGGGCTCAGAGCCCTATGTGCTGCCCTCCTCTTTTGTTCCTCTCATGTGTCACCCAGCAGCGGTGGGATCCAGCTGCACCCTCTGGGCTATTGCGCAAAATCCCGAACAAAAAGAATGTATTGGTGCCTTCTTTTCCCGAGGTTTTTCAGGAGGTGTGCTGTGCCCGTGACATGGCTGGGTGCGGGGTCTGCTGCCCCGTTACCCTGGGCACTGGCCCAGTCTGGTTCTCACCTTGATACTGGGCACTGTTTTATGATTCACGATTTCAATTTGCCCTGGTTTCCATGGTTTTTATCCAGATTTCTAATTTAACCTGCCCTCTCTTCCTCCCAGAGCCAGCGTGGGTGTTCTCCCTGTGCTGCCTCCGCTGTGCCTCCTGGGCATTAATCAGCAGGTCTCACCACCCTCTGCTCCTGACTCTGCTTCCCCTCCCAACCCTCAGCACCTTTGAACCTGGGCATTGGAAAAACAGCTGGGAGGGGCTGAGCTTTGCTCCTGATGGCTGCTTTGCTCATTACTGAGCACTCCTCATCCTCGTGAGCTTCACTGAGCCGGTACTGTGGCAGGGCTGGCAGCAGGGATCAATCCTTGGCCATTCCTGAGCCCCCCCCAGACACGAAATCTCTGCCCTGCCGTGGACCCTGTGCCCTGTAAAGCCCCTCACCGCACCATCCCTCCCCGGCATGGGTGAAGCCTGTGGGATGCACAGTTCCAGCACAGCAAAGAGCTGCCCCAGGAGCAGATAGTCAGAGCTGGAACAGCGTGGCCTCAGAGGGCACGGGCACGAGGGTTTGCTCTGCCCTGGTGAGTCCTGCTGCCCACAGATCTCCTGCTGAGGCATCCCTGCCTGGCACTGAGTGGCACCGTGGGGACACAGCTCAGGCTCCAGTGGCCATGTCCCACCGCCAGGACACAGAGTGGACAGCGAGCGGGTGGTGGTCACTGTGCTGGTGGCCAGCGCGAGCTGAGTTGAGCTCAGGCCACAGTGAGAGGCCAGGAACAAATTGTGCCCGTGCCAAGAGGGCTTTTGCTGGGGTTGCAGGTGGCAGGGACAGCCCGTGCAGCCCTGCTGTGCCCTGGGGCAGCCGGTTATGCTGAGCCTCCCCAGCTGCCCTGCTCTGCCTCCCCCAGGGTGCCCGGGGCTCACAGAGCTGCTGCAGCTGCATGAGGGGAACTCTGGCTCAGCCTCCTGGCAGTTTTCTGGCGAATTCTGTCCCTAAACACAGCATTCCCTGGGAACAGGGTTTTCCCATTGGGCTCAAGAGCCTTCATTGCCTGCTGGCGGGGTGGGTGCCTCTGCCTGGCCTTTGGAGCCCTGGTACCACCCTGGGATGCTCTGTGGGGTGCGTGGGTCACTGTGAGCAAAGCTGGAAGGTGTTTAAGTCTCCAAAATGTGGTGGCAGCAGAGTCTTTCCAGCCCACAGGGACAGGAGTTCTTCCCAAGTCATGACCTGCACGTCCAGTTCCTCCCATGCCTTTGCAAACCCCCACCACCACTTTCCATGCCCCTGGTCCCCACTTCTTAAGGTGCCCCTGGCTGTTGTGTAACCTGCAACAAGCTGCCCCAGATTTCGGGGAGCGCTGCTCTGCTCTTGCAGGGAGAGCAAGTGGGGACGTGTCCTTCCTCCCACTTCCCAGAAACTGATGAGGAAACCTCCCCGTGCCCCCAGTGCAGGCAGTGCTGCCAGAGCTGGGACACGGCCCCAGCCCAGCCCCACGCCAGGGAGGGCACATGGCAGGAGTGTTGGCAGAGCCTGGGGGTGATGCCCCGGCTCTGGAGCTGTAGGGTGGGGGTCAGAGCCTGTGCCCGGTGGGCCAGCTCGACGTCCCGGCTCATCAGCGTCTCTGACACGGCGCCTTTGTTCTGCGCGGTCCCTCCTCCCCGCCATGTGCTGAGTTAGGGGTTTCAGTAATGCTCTCCTGGGTTCTGTCTCTATCTGGAGGCTATAAAAACCCAGTGGGAGGCTGCAGGACATGTCACCTCCCTGGGCACCAGGGCCTCACCCCAGGTAAGAGCTGGAGCCTGGGGCAGCTGCCCCATGCCCATGGCTGGGGCCTGAGAGTGAGCAGCCGTGGGAACAGATGGAGGAGCATCCAAGATCCAGGGCCAGAGCTCTCCTCTGCACCGGGAGCTATGGTGGGGGTTTGGGATCGGGGGATCGGGGGCTGTCCCTGCCTGTGGCAGTGTCAGGGTGTTTGATGCTCAGTGTGGGCACGCAGCCGCCTCCGCAGCGCTCCCGGCTCAGCACTGCCCCGCCTGCACCGGCTGCCAGCACCGGGGCTTTGGCTCAGGGAGCTGCCAGTGGGAGGAGGAGTTTCCCTGGGCACGGGCAGGGATGTCTGCCAGGGCCAGGTGCCCACTGGGCCAGGTGCCCGCTGCTCTACATGGCCCTGATGGCAGCTCCAGCCAGGCAGGGAGAGCCACAGAGCTCTTCATCTGCTCCAGCATGGAGCAAACCCCTTGTTGTCCCTCCACACTGCTGCTGAAGGGATGTGCGTGGGCTCCTGAGGTCATTTTCATGCGGGCAGAGAGGCAGCTTTAACTCTCCCCTTCCCCTGTGCTCTGACAGGGCCACCATGACCCACCGCTGCAAGAAATCCTCTGGTCTCTGGAAGGTAGGGGAGCATGGGCAGGAGCAGCACCATGCCCTGTGAACACCCAGGAATGGGGCTGCAATATCTGCTCGGGGCCTCGACGCCCCCAGAGCCCTCTGACTCCCTCTATTCCCCCCCCGCCCAGATCGTGGTGTGGGATGAGCCTTTCTTCCAGGGCAAGAAGCACGAGTTCACCACTGACTGCTACAGCACCCTGGAGCACGGCTTCAGCACCGTCCGCTCCTGCAAGATCGAGAGCGGGGCGTGAGTGGGGGTCCCGGGGCACTGCAACCCCACGGTGCTGCGGGACCCCACAGATAGCAGGGGGGTTGGAGGATGGAGGCCTCCAGTGCCTTTTGCTGTCCGAGCTGCCTCCTCTGGGCCCTGCCCGGCTGTGAGTTGAGTGGGGCGGTGGGCACACCGGGGGTCTCACCCCTCCCGCCCCGGCAGGTGGGCAGGCTTCGAGCACTGCGGCTTCCAGGGGCAGCAGTTCGTGCTGGAGCGTGGCGAGTACCCGTGCTGGGAGGCGTGGAGCGGCAGCAATGCCTACCACGTGGAGAGGATGTGCTCCTTCCGCCCCATCGCCTGCGCCGTGAGTGCCCCCGCCCCGGCTCGCCCCGCGGAGCCCACCGCTGGCCACGGACAGGGTGGCAGCGCCAAAGCCGTGCCCGTCTCGGCCGCAGGACCACGGACGGAGCAGGTTGATGCTCTTTGAGCAGGATAACTTCCAGGGCAAGCGGGCAGAGATGAACGACGATTGCCCCTCGCTGCCCGCCCTGGGCTGGGGCAGCAGCACCGTGGGCTCCTTCCTTGTCCGCTCCGGAGCGTGAGTACCCG